GGAATGCGGCTGCCAGCCACCAGAAGTTGGAGAAGAATGGGTTCTTCTAGAGCCTCCAACAGTGCAGGCCTGCTGGCACCTTGATTCCAGACCTCTGCCCCCAGAACTCTGAAAGGATAAATTTCTGTTGTCTTAAGCCATCAGTTTGTAGTAATTTTTTGCAACACAGGAAAGTAGTAATACAGATAATAATATTCAGGGGGAAAATGAAAATATGACTATAGAAAGTTGGGGACGCTCATGGAGGGTGTCTGGGGTGGTGGGCAAGGTCTTGTCTCCTAACATGGATGTCAGCTGCAAAGGAGTTTTGCCTTCTAATAACGTATTAAGCAGTATATTTGTTTCACATGGATATTTGTATTTGTATAATATTTATTGGTAAAGATCTTTTAAAACATCAAACCAGGGCTGGGGATGTGGCTCAAGCGGTAGCGCGCTCGCCTGGCATGCGTGCGGCCCGGGTTTGATCCTCAGCACCACATACCAACAAAGATGTTGTGACCACCGAGAACTAAAAAATAAATATTAAAATTCTCTCTCTCTCCCCCTCTCTCACTCTCTCTTTAAAAAAAAAAAAATCAAACCAAATACTCAAATGTCTGTAAGGTCCCACAATCTCTCAACTGGGAAGAAAGTATGACTCATTTCCCCAGTGAGGAAGTGGGAGGAGGAAAAAGTTAAAGGACTAGAAAAGGGCTGTCAGAAATACCCTTCTGGGAAATCAGAAATACCACTTTGTATAAATGGATTGTCCAAGAAATAGAATTTATCTGTGGACTTCCTAATGAAAGATATATTTCACATCTGAAAGGCTCTGCTAAGTGTTCACAGATTATACAGGCCAGCTGGCCTCATAAATGTTGGTCAGTATAGGTTGGGGTGGAGGATAATAAATAACTGGCTGTATTCTAGGAAGATTGATTTATACAGCACTGGTAATTTCAGATTTCTAATAAGAATTTCTGCAGGCACTTGTAGGTATACAACCTTGTGATCATGTTTGAATTTCAAGGTAGAAGTTGAAATGCTGGCAATCCTGTATATACATCAAGGTGCAATTTACAGTGACTCTTCCTAGGTTAATTCAGAATAGTCTCAGGATGTCACGAACTAGAAGCTATGATATTCACCCAGGATTTAGCAAAGCTCAGCACTATCCTAGTGAAACCCCAAAGAGAATATTGTTTTTAATTCAGAGGGCTAAAGAGTTAACAGCTCATGACATACAATTTCAACATAGCACTGAAACTCAGACTCAGAAACTATGATAATGTCCCTGGTTTTCATGAAGAGTTTCATTAGAAGTTTTATATTCATTATTACATTGTGAAATTTTTTGTTCATTTTTTTCTTGTATTTTTATAATTTATGTACTCCTGATTTTACTGAGGATTATTAGTTAGGTGATGCTCTATTTATTGCCTATAATCCCAGTGGTTCAAAAGGCTGAGATAGGAAGATCAGAATTCAAAGCCAGCCTCTGCAACAGTGAGATGCTAAGCAACTCAATGAGACCCTGTCTCTAAATATAAAGTACAAAATAGGGCTGGGGATATGTCTCAGTGGTTAAGTGCCCCCCTGAATTCAATCTCAGGTACCACAAAAATAAATAAATAAGGGTTGGAGTTGTGGCTCAGTGGTAGAACGCTTGCCTAGCATGTACGAGGCACTGGGTTCGATTCTCAGCACCACATAAAAAAATAATTAAATAAAGACAGCGTGTCCCTCTAAAATAAATAAATAAATAAATAAATAAATATCTCTCACATATGGCATTTCATATTGAGCCTTTCAAATATACAACATTACTAAGTTATGTTCTTTACTACTGTGATATTGTGATAATTCATGAAGCTTTTTCAGTAGTGATAGTTTTATAAAAATAATATTCTTGCCTTTAAAAAATTTTAGTTGTAGATGGACACAATACCTGTATTTTATTTATTTTTATGTTATGCTGAGGATCGAACCCAGGGCCTCAACACATGCTAGATGAGCACTCTACACTGAGCCACAACCGCAGCCCAATAATAGTCTTGTCTTACAGAGCTTTACTTCCTAGCTGTCAAACTGTTCTCCTCTTTCTTTTGCTCTCTCCCCCCACCCGTTTTTTTTAACCTATTCAGTACCTTGCCTTTCTCAGGATCCCTCATATTTTGTTTTTATTTTTCTCCTTTCTGTTAGAATCTCCTCTCAGAAAAGCACAAGATAGGGGCTGGGATTGTGGCTCAGCAGTAGAGCATACGCTAGCACGGGTGGGACCAGGGTTCGATTCTCAGCACCACAAAAAAAAAAAAAAAAAAAAAAAAAGGCGTTGTGTCCATCTATGCCAAATAAATAAATAAATAAATAAATAAACATTTTTTTTTTTAAAAAAGAAAAGCACAAGATAAATTCATCTATCTGGAACTGTAAGTTAGGATAAGACTTAATTATCTGTGGCAGACAGAAAAATGGCCCCCTAAAGATGTCATGTCCTAATTCCTTGAACCTGTGAATATGTTAGGCTACATGGCAAAGGGCCATGGAGGTTGCAGATAGTTAAGGTTGTTAATACTCACATAGCAAGACCTATTCCCCACTTCAACCCTATAGAACTATAATAAACTTATATTGTTTTTTAAAAACATTTATTCTTTAGTTGTAGGTGGACACAATACCTTTAAATTTTTATGTGGGCTGAGGATCGAACCCAGTGCCTCACACATGCTGGGTGAGCCCTTTTCCTCTGAGCCACAACCCCAGCCCCTAAAATTACATTGTTTTAAGTGACTAAGTTTGTGGTAATTTGTTATAGCCTGAAAAGGAATATAGTCTTCAAAAATATTTACATTTATAGCAAGGGACAAATCCCTTGTTTTTAAAAAAATTTTATATTTACTAAAGATGATTGAATTGTACACTTTATTTTATTTCTTGCAATGCTGGAGATCAAACCCAGGATCTCATGAATGCTAGGCAAGTGCTTTACCACTGAGCTACATCCCCAGCCCAGCTTGTTTGACATGTTTGTGCTTTTTTGGTTGTGAGAGAGAGAATCACAACTCAAAACAATAACAGGGTCTCCTGGTTCACATGACCAAACTATGGACAACACAGGGATGGAACTGTAAGGCCTAGAAGCAAGATATATCAACATTATCCCCATTCCTGGTCACAATAGCTTCTCTATCACTCTCTTCATTCAAACCTTTCAGGATGAGAAGCTACAACAGTCCAAGGGTAAGGATCACAAGGGGAGGGAGTTCAAGCATCAGCAGACATGGTCTTTGGGAGGAAAGAAACTCCAACCTGTGTGTACTGTGACCTAAGAAATGAAGCTGGATTATTGAACATCAAACATTTTCAGGCTAATAAAATAGGTAAAATAGGTGTTTTTGGTTGCTCTGCATATGTTATGGGGAAGGATGGGGACAGACAACCTGGTAACAGGTTGTCTACTACTGGGTTACATGGGACCTGAAGGCATCAGATAAAGGGCAGTCTTCTTTGCAGGCTGCCTTATCCAGCTCAGGCTGCCATACTAAAATACCATAGACTGGGTTGTTTAAGCAACAGACATTTATTTTCTCCCAGTTCTGGAGGCTGGATCCAAGAAGGCCTTATCCTCAAGACCTCATTTAACTTTAAGAACTTCGAGGGGCTAGGGATGTGGCTCAAGGTAGCACGCTTGCCTAGCATGCGTGAGGCAGTGGGTTCGATTCTTAGCACCACATAAAAATAAAATAAAGATATTGTGTCCACCTAAAACTAAAAAATAAGTATTAAAAAAAGAACTTCCATAAAGTATTTGCCCTATCTCTGAAAGGGGCTAAGGGCTTCAACATATGGATTAAGGGAGACCACATTCAGTTCATAACACAGATACACTTACATGAATGTGAAAACAAAGATTAATATACCTTTAAGCAAGCACCCCAGATGTTTTCTTTCAGTTTCAGTTAAAAATAAAACCCATGAGAATTAGCAACTCTTAGAATTTGAATACTTAAGAGTCATCTTAATTAAGTCACGCTTAAGATCATCTCCACAATTTTATTTTATACAAGTGTCTACCCTCCCAAAGTAATAGCTTTTAAATTTAAATACAGTAAAATATTTTCCATTCATATTGCAGTAATCTGAAACTTGAGATAACTCACAGGAATTTGTGTACCTTCCTTAATCCTCTGTTCTGCATACAATCAATAGCAAAAAGGAATGTTTTTAGAAGCTCAAGTTAAATGCCTCAGATCACAAAACATCCATTTTCAAGATGCTTCAATCACCCCCAGAATGCTTTTCTGTAAAAATAACTATTCTTTTACCCTTCAAAAAAATATACTAGGGCCAGGTGTGGTGACACACATCTATGGTCCCCTGTACCTTGAGAGGCTAAAGCAGAAGGATCACAAGTTCAAAGCCAGCCTCAGAAACTTACTGAGGCCCTAAGCAATTTAGTGATACTGTTTCAAAACAGAAAATAAAAAGGGGTATCGGTGTGGGTCAGTGGTTAAGTGCCCCTGGGTTCAATCCCTGGTATTAAAAAAAAAAAAAAAAAGAAAAAGAAAAAAAAAAAAAAGAAACCATACTGGATATATATATATGAAATGGCTGGACCTTGAGAACACTAAAGAAAAAGGCATGGCCCATGATCTCAAACCTGTCAAAGAGACCTACTATGCATCCATAAATTATAAATTTTCTGAATATGACAATGGGAGTTTTATTGGAAGAAGCTGAAACATTCAAGAAAGAATTCTCTGAGAAGGTTAGAGTTGATTTAGAATTTTACAGAACCTAGGTAAGGAGGTGGAGGTGACTGCAACTGTCCTCATCTGTCTCTAAAACACAACTGGGCAACATATTACTAGTAAGCATTAATTACTAAATGTTCTTGAGAGCATGAAAATGGTCCAGAATTCAATTATAGATTGAAATAGTCTATAATTAAGTTGTTTCACTAATTCAGACTGTCCTTCAACCCAATTGGCCCAAATTCAAGCAGTCTTAACCATGTAGACAGTGATTCATTTATTTTTATTGAAAATGCAAAGTAATACTAAAGAAAAATTTTAAATAAATTAAAAATCATTCCATATCTCCTCACAGTAACATAACGAATTTATTTTGCATATTACCTTCCACATGCATAGACTTCACAGCCACAGATTGTACATACTGTTTTGCATTGTGCTTATTTTACTTATCACATCATAGACATGCCCATGTTTCTACAGTCTTTCAAATAATTGTTTTTATATCAGTATACTTCATTATTTTATTAGCTGTCTCTTTGACATGTAGATTTTTTTCTCATTTTTGCTATTACAAATAATGCAGACACAAATATCTTCATGCATTTACTTTTTCTTGTATAATTCTTTAGTTTAAAAATCTGTAAATAGAATTATGGAGCAAGGAATACAGTCATTTTTATGGTCCTTGCTATGTAGTACCACATTGCATTCCCAAAGGGCTGCATCTATGTAAAATGTCATCTGAAATGAATGAACTAAACAGTGACTGTCCAAAAGTCTGTTTTTTTTTATGAGAAGTAGTTTTAAACTTAAGTATTAAAAGTGAAAACCAATTATTGTCTCTTTAAAAAAAAGGAGTGTATGGAATAGACGGTCTCACAAATGACTAAAAGTTTTTATGAATTAACTTAAGCGGTGCTTCCTAGCTCATCTCAAGTTATGGCAGGTATAGGAGGGACCCTGCTACAGGCACAAGGGAAGATGGACAAAAGTGTTTCTGGGAGGCTTCAGTCACCCTGGCCTTCTCTCTAGCTTCAAAGCTTAAGGGGATCTGTTTCTAGACACATCTGTAAACATCAGTGCCAGTGTGCATAGGTTAGGGACTCAAGTCTCAAAACCTAGTTAATGACAGCTAGAAAATGAATGCAAATTTCTTCTCCTCAATGTATTTTCTACTAATCACAACTGATCTACACGCTTTCTAGTTCTAAAGTTCAACTTTATATGCAGAAAAGTATCTATACTTAAAAAAGGATTTCCCGACACGCTTACAGACCCCTTAACTAGCAATTTACATCAAAGCTGAACATTAAAAATAGCCTTCAGCATCAGCAGATATTTGACTACTTTCTCTACAAATTTTCAGACTTGCTCTTCTTTTAATTTTAGTTTATAAACTCTGAACAGTTATAATCTTTTGCACAGTACTTTGTATATCTCTGATAGTCAGTAAATAAAGAATACTAACAATAAATTATATACACTACAGAGGAAAAAAACTAAAATCAGTCCACATTCTAAATAATTCTAAAGGGAAATTATTTTTTACCTGTTGATTTTGTAGAGGTAGAGAAGATTCCCTCTTCAAATTTCAAATTCCTGCCAGCTAAACAAAAACCTTAAGATACACTACCTGTGATATCATAGGCTCTTAAGACATATTTCAGTATAAAGAATGATTTCTACCTACACCCAGTGCTGATGCTACCAGGAGGTAAAGATTCAATGTAAAGGTTCTTTACCAAGTGTCAAATATTCCATACTACCTTTGAAAAGCACAGATTATAGGGGTTAACCCTACTGATTCATCTGTATATTTATATAAGTTTTTTCTTGACCATAAAATACTGGGTTTGAGAATACAATCAGGAATTAAAATTTACCAATCTCTTATCACGTTCCAGACCACAATGACAAGTAAGAGACTCCAAAATCTGCATTCTTTTTACTATACCTCCAAAGAGTGATTACTTGGTTAATTCTGGCAGATCTAATCAGACATTATACACACAAACACACCCATGAGACCGCATGGCACTTGGAAGATTACCCACTATTTCCCACTTATTAAGATCTGGATCATATTTCTCAATGCTCTGAAGATATGTTCCCTTTGAGTAGGAATATCCTCCAGTGACATAAATACATCCATTCATGATGACGGCGCCACACTCCATCCTCCTCTCCATCATGGGAGCTATTTCTCTCCATTCATTTTGCTCTGGATCATAGCACTCCGTGATTGTAGTCTGTCCACCGACTAGATAGAGCTTATTTTCAAATGGAACTGAGCACAATCCATATTCTATTAAAAGACAAAAGAAAAGAGCAATTTTTTATTAGAATAACAAATAAATGAGTCACCATGGTCAGCCTGCTAGGGATTACCTGAGTGGTAACTGTAGGCAGGTAGGGAGTGGCTGGAGGAGGTGAGTCATATACTGGGGTATACTTTTGGGAGTATATAATCTATCTCTGGAGAGCAGAACACTCTACTTCCTGGTGGCTGAGCTGCCTTCTTCCACCACACTTTTCTATTATAATGTTCTGCTTCACCTTGGGCAGAGCAATAGAATCAGCTGCTTATAGACTGAGACCTCTGAAGCAGTGGGCAACAAATAAACTTTTTCTCCTCTAAAATTGTTCTTGTCAGATCTTTTGGTGGCAACAGCAAAAAAGCTGACTAAAACAGAAACTTAAAATCCAATTCCTGCCATCTGATTCAGATGACCTGTTCCCATCTCTACCCATCATCCCTTGGGTCAAACCCAGGTAGCTTAACCACTGAGCTACATCCCTAGCCCTTTTTTATATTTATATTTAGAGATATGGTCTCACTAAGTTGCTGGCTTTGAACCTGTGATCCTCCTGTTTTAGCCTCCCAAGCCTCTGGGATTATAGGCATAGATCACCACACCCAGCTTGTTATTTTTTATTTTGAGACAGGGTCTCCCTAAGGTGCAGAGGGCCTTGCTAAGCCAGCTTTAGCAGGCTGATCCTCCCACCTTAGCCTTATGAGTCACTGGAATTACAGGTGTGCACCATAGCCCCCATTATATTTCATCATATCTTAATTCTCCCCATAGTACTTCTCATCAATTGGTATGATTTCTGTTCATTGTCTCTTCTCTTTCAAGCAGTGTAGGATATCTGTCTTACCCACTACTCCATTCACAGTTGGAGAAGGACAAGTGTCTGGTACTTTTAAGGATTCAATACATGTCTGCTCGATCAATGAAAAAATTATAACTTGTACCCTCTTATACTCCAATGCATGCCCACACTATTGCGAAAAGCTTACAGGTAAGCCCCTCTTTAGAAAGAATGTACAAATAGAAATATGAGTTCTTCTTCAAGAATGGAAGATAATGAGGCTGGGGTTGTAGCTCAGTGGTAAAGTGCTCTCCTGGTACATGTGAGGCACTGGGTTTGATCCTCAGCACCACATAAAATCAAATAAATAAAATAAAGGTTAAATTCTAAAAAAAAATCGAACACAACAGAATGGAAGATAATGCCTTATAAGTAAAGTTCTTGCTATCTAGGTTCTGAAGGCTAAGGAATATCTCAGAAGACAGATAGTTTTCTTTGACTGTACATACTGTTCAAGTTTCTGATATCTAACAAAATGATTCTACCTCTTAAAAACTCACTTGTTCTAATTAAACACATGTAGAATTCTTAGAGGATTTAGTTGTTTCAAGTATCTATGAAACATTGTTTACATAAATTATATTTATCATTTCATTGTGAATGATTATAAAAATTAACGATAGGGGGCCAAGTGCAGTGACACACACCTATAATCCCCACAGCTTGGGAGGCTAAAACAGTAGGATTGCAATTTCAAGGCCAGCCTTAGGAACTTAGCAAGGCCTTAAGCAACTTAGGGAGACCTTGTCTCAAAATAAAAAATGAAAAGGGCTGGTGGTAAAGCACCCCTGGCTTAAATACTCAGTACAAAAAAAAAGAAAAAGAAAATTGGTGGGTCAGTTGGTAAAAGTGATTCCACGGTGAGTTTATTAGGCTTTTCTTAAGTTACTCAAGCTTACCAGAAAAATCCTCAACTGGTAATCTTATTAATAGATGTATCTTAATCTTCCCATAACAGTAAAAAATGTTTAAAATAAAATGATTTCTCTGAGTTTTATCCTCTGTTACCTAAATACAACACAGTATTGTTATTGTCAATGGAATTTTTTCCTCCTAAGCTAAAACTGCCTTTTTTTGTGTCAATTTGTCTGAGCTCCTGGGGCCAAAGGACCGTGTCTTGTTTACTGTGCTCCTGACACAGAATATAGGAAATATTCAGCAACTATTTATTAAGATAAATGGATGAGTGAATAAATGAGTGAACAATTTCAAATCAAGCATGGAAATGACACCATCTGTAATGGTTCCAAGTGTTTGGGCACAAATATTACCCAAAAATACATGGCAGTCTGTATCCAGTGTTAATTGAGTGATATGAACAAAAGGACACAGGGAATCAGAGACAACCACAACATCCAATTGAACTGGTTTAAATTTTTTTCCTAAGACTGTCCTCACTGAAAGGATCTGTAAAGCTTATGGAGCCTAACTTCCTAATTTTACTGGAAAGTAAGGCCAAAATCCTGAGCTACTTGTTCAAGGTTAGGAGGGTCAATAAATGGCAAAGCCAGGAGAGAACTCTCTGCCCACAGATGCTTCTTCTTTGTTATGTATTGCTTCTTTCTTCCTGTTTTTCATGCCTTCTTTCTCAGATCATCCCCTAATTCAAAGCTAGTTCCCAAAATTCTGCCCATAGCTATCTTGTTGGTCCTGCCCTGTGAGGCACCTAATTCATGCTCACATCCACTGGAATCATCCAAGCAAACAATTCCCAGATCTCAACATCCAGCCATATCCTTCCTCTTATGAGGAAGGATGTACAAATACACATCTCCCCTCCCCACCCCCATTGCTGAACAGTCCTTCTGAGTTATCCAACTAGCTCTACAACCCTACACTGCAGATGGAGCTCACCATCTCCCCTCTTCTCCCTCTCTATTGGCTCCTCCATTGATACTCTGGATCCTCCCAGGCAACTGGCCACAGACCCTGAGATCACTGTCAACTCTTTTTCTCTCCAGATCCAGTCATCCAAGGAAGAAATCAGCTGTTGAATCTCTAACAATCCTCATATTTACCCCTCTTTTCTGCCTACCATTTCTTCAAACTTTCACTATTTCTCACCTGGTTTATTACATATTAATGTTAGCATATTTCCCTGTCCACTATCTTTCTCCCAATGTATCTTTTTTTAATAAGTTGTTGATTCACATCTATTTATCTATCTATCTATCTATCTATCTATCTATCTATCTATCTATCTATCTATCTATCTATCTGTGGTGCTGACAATCGAACCCAGTGCCTCACGCATGCCACACAAGTGCGCTACTGCTGAGCCATAGCCCCAGCCCCACAATGTATCTTAAAAGGAGCTCTCTTCCTAAAATGAGAGCTGAGGATGTCAGTATAGAGCACAAGTTTAGAAGGTATAAATCTTTGCATTTGATCCCCAGAATCACAAAAAACAAATAACCAAGAACCACATCATTCTTTTGCTCTGAATACTTTGATAGTTCTACATTTTTAGAATTCTCCAAACTGCCCCTCAAAGCCCTCTAGAAACGCTCCTGAACTGAACTCTCCCATCCTGTCTTCTGTTCTACCAGCACCATTCCATTTGTTCTTGTCTACTCCCAAGTAATGGAATACACCCGAAACTTTCCCTTTGGCCTTCTTTCACTCAACTGACATCCTGCGGGGCAGTAAGAGTGAGGGAAGTTCCTCAGAAACTACCATCCTTAATAGTGGCCATTTTGTAAGGCATAACTTAAAAATACTTATGGGAGGGGGTTGGGGGGGTTGTGGCTTAGTGGTGGAGTACTCACCTAGCATGTGTGAGGCACTGGGTTCGATCCTCAGCACCACATAAAAATAAAGATATTGTATCCACCTAAAACTAAATATTAAAAAAAAAAAAAAGAAATACCTACCCCTGGGGAGCAGTTGCAGATTGCAACTCAAGTTCTCAATTTCAATAGCTTTTTCTTTGTATAGAACTTGCTAAATATTATCCTGAATTACTGTTAAATGTTTACTTGCTACTAGATTCTGAGTTCCTTTGGCAGTAGAGATTAGTACTTAATCATCTCTGAGTTTTACATAACTATTAGAATTCTACCTTTCCCAATGGAGGGTCTCAATGTTATCCTGAATTTAATGAAGTTATGGTCCCAAGTTTTGCAATTATACAAAATTAACTCATTAAAGGGATTAAGATAAAAGATAACATTTATATTACCTTTTAAAAATAACAGTAGTAGTCATTTCCTCCTCATCTAGGCAATGTTTCTACATATGGCAAGCTCAAAACAGACACTTCACCTTCCTTGGAGGTGTTCCTGGAGTGCGTGTAAGAGGCATACCTTGCCATAATTCAATGGATGCAGATGCAAATGCCTTCAGGAGCTTACAGGACTAACTGATGAAGCATGTGTGGGCTAAGAAAAAAGCAACAGCATAGGCCTCCTGGGTCTGAGATGTGACCAGAAGTGGAGGGACTGGGATGAAATGGAGAACACAAGCCTCAACTAACAAGAACAGCTATTACCCAGCTCCAGCTATTACCCAGCTCCAGTGATTACTGCCAGGAAAGAGCACTGTCCAGTTGTCAGATCTTCCAATTTTTCTAAAGGCCAGAAATCATGATTTTTATATAAATTTAAATTTTAAATTCTGGTAATAAGCCAGTTCAAAAATATTTTTAAGCACTGTGAATGCCAAACAGAATGTACGTATCATGCAAAGTGCCAATTTTTGATATCTGTTTTTTTACATTTTATCAGGAAAGAGTTCAATGTGCACTAAAATGTTACAGGAGGAATTCTATGTTCCTAGTGATTTACAAAATGTAATTTAATAATTTTGGATTGAAATTTTTCCATGGCTTCTAATACTAGGTTTAAGTCACACAGCCTTTGACTCTTTTTCAAGTGGCTAACAGACTACACGCAACTTGTTATGAGGTTCAAATGAGATAGTACTTAAGTACAGTACATGGGTTACAAGCTAAACTGCTGGACTGAACTTCACCTCTAACAAGCATTACCTGGCTAACTGGGGCAATGTCTCTGTGCCTCAGTGGCCTGTGTAATAACAGTACCTATGTAGCTCACAAGATTATTTTGAGGTTTAAATAGTACAATGGTTTGAATATAGGTAGTATTCCCCCAAAGAACTATATATACAGACTTGGTCTGCAGGGTGGACACAGTGCAAGGTACTGTGGACCTTTAAAAAGTTGGGTCTTATGAAGGTCGTCAGGTCAATGGAGTCATGCCCCTGTAAGGGATTTTGGAACCCTGGCTAGTCCTGCCATTGTCATTCCATTGTTCTCATCAGAGGACAAATCCATGGGCTACCCAATCTAGGATTTGAACCTCTACACTATGGGCTAAGTAAACCTTTTTCTTACAAGTTGATTAGGTATTTCATTATAGTAACGTGAGGCTGATAAATACAAACAGATTAATACATATAAAATTATTGGAACAGTTAAGTGCCTGGCACATTTTATGAGTATGGAAGTATTAGCTATAATTCAATGTAATCTATTACTTTTAATTTTCATAATTTCATTGGTCATATCAGGAAAACAAAGTGGTGGGGAACTGGATGTGGTGGCATATGCCTATAATCTCAGTAGCTTAGTGCTGAGAGCACAGCCAAAGAAGTCTGAAGCAGGAGGTTAGCAAGTTGGAGGCCAGCCTTGGCAACTTGTCTCAAAATAATAAATAAATTTTTAAGAAGGGGCTGGGAGAGAATGTAGCTCAGTGGTAAAGGACTCCTGGGTTAAATTACCAGTACTACAGAAAGAAAGAAAGAGAGGGAGGGAGGAAAGAGAGAGAGAGGAAAGAGAGAGAGAGAGGAAAGAAAGAAAGAAAAATGGTGGTGAGCCTAGGATGATGAATCTGAACTGCTAGAAGATAAAAGTCTACATATTCCATGATGTCTTCAGAGCCAGGGCATCCTACAGCTGCAGTTTCTTCGTAGGTACAACCTGCAGCATATGGAGCTGCAGTACCAGATTTAGGTGTGCTCCACCTGAACCATGAGATGAGACAGATAATGTGTGCAGTGGAAGTAGCTGTACAGGTAGAAATTGAGAATCTGCTCTCTTATCGATTATGAAACAGGTTATGGAATTAGATCATCAAGTGTATTCAGGCCCACCAATTTCAAATTTGACTCTGGCCAAGCTACTTATTCATTCTAAACCTCCATTTCCAAATACGTAAAATAGTGATAAATGATACCTACTCATAGAATCACAATGAGAATTTAAGATAATATTACAAGTAAGATGATTAGCCTGTATCTGATCTATAGTATGTACTCAAGAGGATTAGCTATTTACTCTTATTCTCAGATGATTCAAGCTTGTAGATTTTAATTGCTCTCTCTAGTAATCCACATGAAAGCCTGATGCTCTATGGAAAATGATTCAAAGTAATATGGTATTGTGACATGAATTTTGCCTAATGAAAAAAATTTAAACACATAATACAACTAGAATAGGCTAAAATTTGTTATTTCTGGGGCTGGGCATTGAACCCGGGGCCTCACAATGCTCAGCATGTGTTCTGCCAATGAGCTGTGCTCCCAGCCCAGCTAAAATTATGCTCCTCTTGAGCTCTTTTACAAAACGGTCAAAGATTAAAAGCATCATAGAGGGGCTGTGGCTGTGGCTCAGCAGTAGAGTGCTCACCTACCATGTGCGAGGCATTGAGTTTGATCCTCAGCACCACATAAAAATAAATAAAATAAAGATATTGTGTCCAAGTACAATTAAAAATATATACACATATTTTTTTTAAAAAAAGCCATCACAGAAGGCAGGCCATTCCTTATGGCAGACACACTGCATATCACAGGAATGAGTGCTGAACAGTAACTGAAACCCAGAAAGGACATGCTTTAAAAAGAGGATAACAACAATCTCTTGCTGAACTTTAATCTTTTTGACTATCTGATGGACAAACTAATGCTTTTTAATTGTCTATAAAAAGTATGCTTTATATAGTGCATATAATAATAAACAAAAGCATGTAACAAAGAAAAGAAACATAAGAAAGAATGTAAATAAATTAAAAAGAAACCTACCACTTTCAACCACACAGCCTTAAAATGTGTTATATAAACACATCAAGGAAAATATTTTTAGATGTGATTTAATCAGAATATAATCATGACTACTGTTAGATGGATTACGAATTCTTTGTGCTTTAAAATTATACCCATGTGTAGTGTATGATAAAATTGGCACTTTCTATTTCTAGCCCACTCTTAGCCATCCCTTGTGCTGATAAACTGCACCAGGACATGCACTATTTGAAGACAGTACTTTGTTACCTGGGTGTGGACTGGAGGTGATGAGGCTCCATTCATTGATATCTGAATTGTAGCTCTGAACCTTGTCATAGGTACAGCTTCCTCTGTAGCCACAGTGGCCTCCAATGACATAGATGACTTCATGTAAGACACAGGCAGTAGCATTTCCCACACCTGAGTGTCAATTAAAATCAAACCTTTAGATCAATTGTTCATCTTCTTTTGCAATAAATACCGAGTAAATTTATTTATTTATTTATTTTGCTATTACTAATGACAGATGCAGGGCAATGTGCTAGTTGCTATGAGGGATAAAAAAAAATGAAATAGGAAGGCTCCTATGCTCTTTAAGAGAGGATGAGATAAATAATTAGAACATAGTTATGAAATGGTAAAGATGCCATAAAAAAGAGACAAACTAATGTGAATGTGAGAGCAAGTAGACATTGCTTTTGACTAAGAAAATCATAGCAGGAGGTAGTGGCATTTGACCTTGGCTTTGGTAAGTAGGGCTTTGGCAAGCAGAGGTGAGAAGAAGCCATTCCAAGCATAAAGGCTTCCTAGGCATGTCAAATAGCCCAGTTTGACTATGACAGGTGGTACTTCAAGGGTTGTCACATGGGAATTATGGCTGGCATTGTGAGTTGAAGCCACAGGCAAAGCACCCTGATATAAGCTTTTTAAACAGAGGACAGGAGGGACTAAAAAGGAAGACAGGAGACAGAAAGATGTAGGTGCTGATCCAGGTGAAAAGTACTGAGGCCCTGATTTAAAAGGGGGCTTAGAGTTGGAGGCAAGAGACAAGTCAGACACACTGGCCTTGAGTCCAAGACAAAGCAGACTGATTATGAGATCCTGAACTGGGAAAACTAGGAGTCCTTAATATCACAGAAAAGTATGGAGAAGTAAGGTGTGCTGCCATATTACTGTACTCCCAGCAACTTGGCAGGCTGAGGTGGGAAAATTACAAGTTTGAGGCTAGCCTCAACAACTTAGTGAGACTCTGTCTCAAAATAAAAAATAAAATGGACTGGGTATAGCTCAGTAGTTCAATCCCGAGTGGTTCTCCTGGAGTTCAATTCACAGTACTCCCCGCTCACCACACACACACAGGTTAGGAGGAGGAGGTAACTGGTTCAGTTGGGGGAAGAAAAGAGGAATAAAGATGATGAGGCCCATTGTAGTTGCAAATGTCAGTTTGATCTTCTAACCAACTTTTAACTAGCACTGTTATGTACCAAGTACAGTTTAATCTCCTTGTTCATTTCTACTTCAAAATGAAAGCAGGCTTATAAACAGGGTAGTTATGATGAAAAAGAAAGACTTAGGAGTTCCTACATAACCAAATGTTTATTTCTTCTCTGTATTTCACATCCCTAAACCAAAAAAGGAAATGAATTTGAAATTTATCCTGACCCAAATTAAGCTCTCATTCAGGGGAAGCTGCTAGTTTACTCCATGACTATAAAATAATCTGGGAAAAATAATGTTATCCTTCCCATAGAAATATGGAAAACTAAAATTTTAGTATGAGTCTACTCATCAGAACAGAATCTGTCAAAACTGCATATAAGTGGGTGAGTGTTACCCTGCTCTGGGTTGAATGAATATAAACAAGAATAAAAACTTCAAGTTGAAAAAATAAACCTCTAAAATTTCAGGCCCATCTGGCAGGTGGGGATGATTTGGGGGCACTGGGTCTCCCATTCCACTCAAGGCCAAGAAAAAAAAAACACATACGGCTTTTTTTTAATAGTAAATAATCTACTGTAGCACTGTCCTCTCAGGAAACACTGTTTCAAATATAATTTTTAAAAATTTCAGTAAGGTAATATAAACTTCCACCATTAACTCAACACAGTCCAAGTATAAAATCCTTAAAATTGTTATTTCATCATTAAAACATAGAAGCTGAAATATTTGGATTTCAGCTTTGGGTTTACAATTGCCACTAAAATATGTGGAAAGTTTCTTGTTTCTTTTGTAAGAGAGGAGGCAGGACATTCAGAACCACACTCATATCATTAAGTGATGCTCAAGCTTAGGCAAAGCCAAAAATCAGCAGCTGATTGCAACACATTTAAGCTAGCTTCTCCCATCCTATGAGCTATTGCTGCACCTGTGGTCATACCTGGTCCTGATTTCATGCAAAAGTTATTTTTGCCCTGTCAAAACATATTCTTCCATAATGACATTCATGATAAGCAGGCATAACATTTACTGAGGGTCAATTTGTACCAGACACTGTTCTAGGCGCTTCTCAAATATCAATTCATTTAATCCTCTCAAAGACCCCCAAGCTAAGATGATATCCTAAGATGATATCATACAGATGGCAAAACCAGGGCAGAGAGAAACCGAACAATTTGCCTGATCCTCACCAGTGAGTGGAAAGTCCAGGTTTAGACCCAGGCAATTTAGCTTCAGAAGCAGTGTGCCTGATCACAAGACCATTCTGCTCTCAGGCTTCCTGCTTGTCATCCAAGGATCATACAAGGTCAGATTTCCAGACCAGGTCATATTCCCATACCCTCACTAGTGTCAAAAAAGAAACAGAAAGGCCTGGGAAGAAACATTTGGAACAAAATGTCACAAACTTAGTAACAACCTACCAGATGTTTTTGGACAACTCCCGAGAACCAATGAATAAAGAATAAATGTAATGAAATAAGATTTCAATTTAACTTTTCTCCCCCAGTGGGAGAGAAGTAGAGCTAATATACTCCCAAACACACCCGAAAATACAATTTATCTGACAGATACTGAGACCCAGTAGTGTACTTGGCTCTGTGGGCCACATGAAGAGGAGTGTGCTGAATTTCTCTCTTTTTTTTGGGGGGGGGAGTACTGGGAATTGAACCCAGGGCCTCACCCACACTAGGAAAGTGCTCTGCCACTAAGCTATACCCCCAGCCCTCTGCTATTTTCTTTTATTCTGAGACAAGCCTGCATCAAACTAGGAGAATATACTAGTTACATCCTATAGGGCACAAACCTTCTAAGGTTTTAAGGAAGGGCCTTTTAAGAAATTATCAATATATTTTGAGAGACTAAAAAAGTTGAACATTAAAACACAGAACTGAAAAGTGTTTGATTTCAAGGTCAACTAAAAAAATTAAAAGACAATTCAATAAGACTGGGGCTGTAGCTCAGTGATAGAGTGCTTAACTAGCATGCGTGAGGCACTGGGTTTGATCCTTAACATTGCATAAATATAAATAAAATAAAGGTATGCTGTCCATACAGAACTACAAAAAAAATTTTTTAAAGACAAATCAATAAAACTACTCAGGTCTGTCTCTTCATTTAGCCTTCAACTTAGATATAAATTCTTAAGACTTGAAGAAAGATCTAGAGAAAAGATGTAGAGTTAGTAAAATGGCTATACGTTTCCTTATATTTCTATTCCCTGATATTTCTTTTCTAGCCTGAGTAGCCTGAATTCCAGACAAGTTGGGGGCTATGTTTTCATCTGGAACATTCTGTGCAACATTATCTGTATAATCCACTGTAGTTCTTGGAGAACATCCCAAAGTGATAATCTTTTTTTTTTTTTTTTTTTTAGTACCGGAGATTGAACTCAGGGACATTCGACCACTGAGCCACATCCCCAGCCCTATTTTGTATTTTATTTAGAGACAGGGTCTCACTAAGTTGCTTAGTGCCTCGCTGTTGGCTCTGAACTCATGATGCCTCCAAAGCTGTGGGGATTACAGGATATGCCACGTTGCCCCACCCAAAGTGATAATTTTTTTAAAATGACTTGAAAGAGAAATGACTTCTGGCCTAATCCCAAGTACCTAAAAAAATATAGGATAAACAAAATTCACATTTACCTTTAATCATGTTTGCAATAGGAATCCATTTCTCTTTTAGTGGGTCATAGAACTCCGCCTCTTCTGCTGGTGCCCCTTTTCTGTAACCACCTAGAGCATAGACACAGCCACCCAAAGTGACTGCACAGTGGTAATACCTAGCATTGAGCATTGGCAAACCTTCTGTCCATTCATCACCTTCACTGTTATAGATCCACACTGTATCAAGAGCTTCTATGTTATCTGTCCTGTAGCCTCCAGTTACATAAATGTTGGGTCCCAAACTTGTAACACCGTAGCTCTCCCTGGTATAATCTGGTATTTCTGCCCCTTGAATCCAAACATTTGTCAAAGGATCCCATATATGCACCTCTGATAAAGGATGCCAGTAATAGCCTCCAATAATATACATTGTGGCTGTAGACCTCTGAGAAATCTCTTTATGCATGGGATTCAAGGCATTGTATATAAGAGAACGTATCTTATTTTCTGTTAGTAGGCAGCTTCTCTGAAGGCCTAATGCTGTCTTTAAATACACTGGATCTATATCTATGTTGATATAGCTTAGTAGATTATATAGGCATTCAATTCGGTTTTCTACGTCATGAGCAGTCCACTTAATAACTGGCTCTATGATAGCTTCTTCTTTCCAAACACTGAGATTCTTTCTGGACAAGATAAATAGAAACTTTTCAAGGCTGATTTCCAGAAATTCTTCTTGTTGCCATACTTCCTTAAACCTGGAACACAGAATTCTTCGAGATTCTTTCTCTAGTTCTGGACACACATGAAATTCTGCAAAGGAGTGCATTCCAATACAGTTATCAATATCCAGGTGCCTTACCAAAAACTGCTCACAAGCCTTCTTTACTGAAAGGAACTGTAGCAGATCTGCTGCCTCAAGCAGGCTTTGAACATTTCTTTTAGTTATTTCAATTTGGGAAGTGTATGCATAATTTACAAGGCCTTCCAGAATATCATGGTGGATGCCAGAGAGTTTTATTTTATTTTTAAATTTTTCTTTCATGTCAGCTGTGAACATTGCCTTAAAATAATTGCTGCAAGCAGCTAAAACAGCTCGGTGACAATGAAAGATTATGCCTGAAGGGCACTGAAGGGTGATATCAGTAAATAATCCATCCAAGTAAAATGTTCTGAATGCATCCAGAAAATCCACTGGATGAGTTGAATCCTTGAAAAGATAAATATAATCTTCTTGTCCTTTTAGAGCCATGGCTGCAAAAAAAAAAAACATGAAATAATAAACGTGTTTTCATTTTGCACAAATAATCAATGCTATTACAATCACTAGAATTGAATTAGTATCGGATATACTCCAAATCTAGACTAAGTTCAGCATCTCTAAGTAACATATGCAAAAGGTGGATGGACTGTTTCATAATTTATATGGTGGTCCATTTAAATTCAGGGTAGCTTGGAGCCTGAAATGAGGTCCCCGGATTCTTTAGTTCATTTGGGAAGAAATACTGATTTACTACCCCATTCACGCTTGCAATCTGTTTGAGGTTGGCGGTCCCTAGGGAGATCACACACACTAGGTGTCCGACGGTCACTTCATTCGCCTCCGGACCTTGGCCGACTCGGCTCGGCCGGGCCCCAATTCAACCTTTTTCCCTAGCGCCGTCTCCCTTTCAAATCACATCGAGATGCCACAGAAAGGATGTGAGAGGAAACAAAATCTAAGAAAAGGGAAATCCTGAGGTTTTTTTTGCTTAGGGAAAGACAGAAAGAAAGCGGCGCGGCCCGGGGGCAGAGCCTTCAGCCTGCGCCCCTTCCCGGCGCCCGCCGCAGGGGTTTCCGCGCGCCTGGCGCCTGGGCCCCGGGGCCCACGTTCCCGCCTGGAGACCGCCCCGCCCCGGGGCCTGGCGCGGGGACTCAACTCCCAGGCGCCAAGCGCCAAGCGCCACCCGCGGACCGGTGCCCGCATCCCGATGTCCCGCACAGGTGTGGGAAGGCGCCTCGGGCAGCCCCACGCGCCGCGCTCGGCCCGGCCCGGACTCTCGCGGCCATTGTCTGCGCCCCGCCGCCGCGGGCGGCTTAAAAAACCGCGCGGCCTCGCTCCCCGGCTCCCGGCCCCACTCTCTCCCGCTTGTCGGCCTCGGACGGTGGGTCCGCACTGCACCCCACTTACCTCCGCTGGCAGCTCCGGGACGCGGTGGTGGCCCCGGGCTAACGGCGAGCGGGGGCGGGGGCGCCTCCGGACCCTCTGACCATCTTTGGAAGCAGCGCAGCGGAGGCTGCCTGCTAGTGCAGCTCCAGCCCACAAGCGGCTCCTATTTTGGTGCCCCGGCTGCTCCCCCGCCTCCACCCGAACAGCCCCCCGCGCAGCCTGGGCGCGGGGCCACACGCGGGAACTCCCCCGTCGCCTGGCAGCGCAGCGAGCGGGGCGGGGCGGCGCCTCCCCGCGGGTTCCCCCGCAGCAGGTGGGACGGCTTCTCAGAGGAGGCCGCCCGCACCGCTGGCTGGCCCCTCTCCTGGCTCTCTCGGCCTCTCGCACTCTCGAGCGTCCTCTTAGATAAACCGAGCGAGTCCCGAACGAAGACCGTCTAAGTGTGTGCGTGTTTTCCCTCCCTCCTCAGCCTAGGCCCTCACGGGAGAGAGAGGGAGTGAGAGGGAAAGTGCGGAGAACACCGGACCAAACTGAAGGTTTCAAATTGGGGTTGTCTTCAGATTGCCAGAAGTAGCCGCCCTTTCCCACAAACGCCATCCCACCAGGAGCGGAGCGCTCAGGAGGGAGCCGTGGGTGACGGATGGGTACATCAAGGGTTAACCTGGAGGCTTTGAGAAAAACTCCGGGAGTCCAGGGCCAAGGCTAAGTCCCTTTGCAAGGATTCCAGCGGCTGTATTAGAGCCCAAGGAGCTAGAAGGAGCAACCCGCAGACTTTCTTGTGACAGCCAGACTGTTCACATAAGGATGTCCGTGTGCTGCACCAGAAAAGTTCGTTTTCTGTTCCAACAAAAACCAATACGAAATATTTTCATTTATCATTAATTCCCTCATTAGCAAGATTTTATTAAGTGCCTTTCAGCACCTACCTGATAGGGCTGGGAACTGGTAATAGAGCTTTGAAGTGGTGGTCCATGGCTCCCGTGGAACTTACAGTCCAGCCACCTTCAGGGTATGGAACCACACCACTAGAGGACCAGTGTGTTTCTAAGTATGGCCCAAGACAGAATTTATGAATAAATGGCCAGACATTACATAACAGAACTCTGAACCACCTATGAAGCTCAGAAAACCAAACCAGAACCTCTCCTCTGCAATTGGACCACAACAGTCAAGTGTAGGTCAACTACTGCCAGCTTCTCTATTTTCACCCTTACTTTGGCCTCAAGACCAACCAGAGGAAGCTAACTGTGTTCTCCAAAGAAATCATACAAAATATCCCGATTCTTGTAGCCTGCCCCCATTTTCCATGCCAAACACCTACAATCAGAGGATACCTGGGGCTTCTCCCCCACCACCACTTTCATCAAGCTTCTCACTTACCTGTTTGTCTTTGAGCCTCTGCCAAAGGCAAGTGATGATGAACAAATCTCTTGCTATAGCAAAGCTCTGAATAAATAGCAGCTGTTTGTTCTCCTTTGGGTATTTTAGTTTAATTCCACATACAAGACCATCATTTAAAAAAAAAAAAAGATTTTTGTTGCCCAGGTTAGACTCAATCTCCTGGACTCAAGTGATCCTCTAATCCTTCAACCTCAATTCTCAGTAGCTGGGACTAGGGGCACCACCCACCACTGACTTTGGGTTAGACCATCTTAAATGAATTATATGGCATGCTGATTATGCAAAACCACAAAAACCAACCCTGATTTCTCTGTGGTGGAGACTTAGGAATATGCACCTAATCAAGGACAGCAGGTAATTCTTGTGCAATTAGGAGAATGTGTATTGGACCCAAAATGAAAGAAAGCTGAAAGATTCAAGATTGCAACATCTGCTCAACAGGTAAGTACTACAAAAGGAAAGTACATGAAATTTAGATTCAGGGCTAAGATTCATCTCTGACATTTTACCTAACATACAGCCTGGAGCAAGTTACTAAACTTCACTGATCTTGTTTTCTGACCTGTAAAACATAATATCAATGCATCCTCAGCCTAACATAAGTTTATTGAAAAGTTAAAATAAAGGGGCTGGGGTTGTAGCTTAGCGGTAGAGCCCTTGCCTAATATATATGAGACACTGGGTTCAATCCTCAACACCACATTAAAAAAATGAATAAATAAAATAAAGGTATTGTCTCCACCTACAACTAATTTTTTTTAAAGTTCAAATAAAATTGCAAATGTAAACATACTGAGGACATGGTATATACATATTAGCTCTTATAATGAAGGAATATTTATGCTTAATTCTTCATCACAACACCATTTGGGGAGTTAGTACCTTTTTAACATTTCTTCAAAAAATTATGAACTCTGTAGTTAGTTGTAATTATAATTTGTCCTTCACAATTTATAGTAATACTATTGTCAGTATTGTCATTCAAGGACAATGTTGTGACTGATTAAAGATGGGACATTCCTTCCATTTTTGTCACCGAAGTGCAGAGGTGGCTGTGATTATAGTTACCAAATTTGATGCACAGAAAATATTATAAGCTTTACCTAACTTACAGTAGGTGCTTCTAGAATCGTAACTGTTTGTAATCAATGATTCACTCATTACATTGTCATTTGTGCAGCTATTTCAGATTGCTGCATGAACCAGTTAAAACTTTTGCTTCCATCGCCTGGTATCTCCTAGTTGTTAATTATTGTTTACAAATACATATCAGAGGGCTGGGGTTGTGGCTCAGTGGTGGAGCACTTGCTTAGCATATATGAAGCACTGGGTTTGACCCTCAGCACCACATAAAAATAAATAAATAAAACAAAGGTATTGTGTCCATCTATAGCTAAAAAAATATATATTTTTTAAAAAACATATATCAGTGCATATTAGACTATTAGTCTTCTTCACTTTATCAAGAGAAGAGTAGATCCTGGGGGATATTGCCAGGAATAGTTCCTCTTTACCATATGCTTTATCAAAACAAAAACAAAAACAAAAACAAGAAAACATTGCAGGGTCTGGGGTTGTGGCTCAATGGTACAGCACTCTCCTGGCACCTGTGAGGCACTGGGTTCAATCCTCAGTACCACATAAAAGTAAATAAATAAAATTAAAGGTATTTTGTCCATGTACAAAGTCAACCTTAGAAACTTAGCAAGGCCCTATGCAGCCTAGTGAAACCCTGTCTTAAAAAAAAAAAGGTTGTTAATGTTGCTCAGGCCCTTGGGTTCAATCCCTCATATGAAAAAGAAAAAAAGTGCAAAGGCTGATAAATTTGAGGCATTCAGAAACATATGGTCAGCATCATAAGTTAAATAAATGATACTATTCAAGAAGACAGATGTGCTATCTGCAATCCCAAGCCTTAAAGAAGTAAGTTAGAAATGGGTCATAAATGACTCTTGGCAGATATTGAGCTTGACATGGAGCTGATGCCTTGTTGACAGCACACTTCACCTTTTGAAAGGTTTCTAAAAATAATGATTTTATATGTTATTTTTACCTTATTAGCTTATCTTTCCACTAGGTATAGCCATGCCATTAAATGTTTGATATGCTGATTGTGATGCCATTATCAATGTGTGCAGACAGAAAAATTTTTATACTTCATTTGCATACTAGATTAAGCAGATTGCTACTGGTAAACAATGTATAGGTTAACTGATAATCTACCATATATAGCTGTGTAAATTATGAACTGTTTAATATCAGCTCCTGCCATTCAAATTATTTTAGTGTGCATAGTGAACATTGCCCTCAAAGTTAACATAACACAATAAACACAAGTATATTTGACTATCCTGGAGCTGAAATTTCTTGGCACAGCCTTTTTTGGTATTCTTCCTATAAAATAAGAAAGTATGAGTATTGTAGTGACAAATACTTTTTCAAGTCCTAAGTTTCTAAATCCTTGTTTTCAACAAAGTGAAAGAGGATTTTTACACAAAACTTTGCAAGAATTAATGAAAGGCATTACTATAATAAAATCTTTGCCATTCCTTTCTATTCATCTAAGTGAACACATTTTTCTCAGGGTTTACCTCTATAGAAAAATAAACAGGAATATCATTGATCTTGAATGCTATCTCATTCCAATCAAGGATACATGCTCTAGGGTTGGGGGAGGATATATGCTCTAAATGAAAAGAAAATAGTCCCATTCATCCAAATGAAATAACTTTTGATAAATTTTTTATTTTTGTTTAATTTAAAGCAATTGTTTTTGCGAATAATAATTATAATGTTAATTAGGTTTCTGACTTTTAATTTAATTTATATCAATTGTTTCATTGATTATAATAATTATAATGCTAATTAGGCCAGAAATTTTTAAATATTTAAGGATATAACAGTTAAAATTTAATTCATTTTCACTTTTATTACAGAGGTGAAGAGGTGATTAAAACAATATTTTTCAAGTATAAAAAATATACAGATAATGCTTTTCTTTGAAAGGTTCTAGTATGTGTGAATTTTAGTTACCACAGTTTAGTTAAATAATACCAGTCCTCTAAGAGGAGAATTCAAACTCCAGTTAGTATAATATATTATTAGTAGTACCTATATAAAATACAAACAGTGCTAGCTCTCAGTCAGAGAATTACTACATAAATAACATGGGCATCATGATCTCTGTGCAATCATGCCTCTTCTGACAAAGTTTGTCAATGTTTGGTCACTATGCATCAGTAATTCACTTCACAGAGGCAGCAAAGCTTGCAGTTGCTTTACCACCTTGTCTGCTAGTCATATATATATTTTAATTACCTATTTTGGTTTTATATGTATATATAAAACCAAAATAGGTAATTAAAAGAGGGTATTGGCAAACAAGGATGAAAAATACATCAAAGAAATGAAAACTAATAATGCTGCAAATGAAATTAGAATCCAAGATAAATTAAGTTACAGAAGAAATAGCTGCCTGTGGGCATATTGATGCTGCAACCAAACATGCAGCCAGGGGAACTTAGTGCAGGTGCACTTTGTAACATAATTGAGGAAGTGGTCGTCACAAAGGTATCCCAGAAGAGCTGATGCTGGCAAAAAACTTCCCTTTACAGGAACTCTTGATATAGTTCATAGTAGTGTAGAGAAAACATGTTGGAAGCTGACCCAAACTTAGAAGTTTAATAATTCACTAAGTCATAGAAAGACAGATGCTTCCAAATCCTAAGTCATATAACAAAAGAAAGGCAAGAACTGTTTAAACTACTTTTTTAAAAAATGTAAATGCAATCACATCATTTTTTTTAAGAGAGAGAGAGAGAGACAGAGAGAATTTTTTAATATTTATTTTTTAGTTTTTGGCCGACACGACATCTTTGTTTGTATGTGGTGCTGAGGATCAAACCTGGGCTGCACGCATGCCAAGCGAGCTCGCTACCACTTGAGCCACATCCCCAGCCCTGTTTAAACTACTTTTGATAAGTTTTTTACAAAGAAATATAACATTTTAATTTTCAATGATTCCAATATTTTAAATTATGGTGCACTAAGTAAATATGTCTTTCATTTGCCTATACATTTTCATTTGCCTATATAGTAATAGTTTTTAATATTCTGATAAAAAAATTTAAAGGTGACAGTATAATCATAATTTTCCCCATTATTAAGATTGCTTTGCACATTTTCAACTTACATGGTTATTTTATGGACTTCCACTACTGTGAGAACTGCCTGTATTTTTAGTAGGACAACCTTCTTTGGAACAATAAGATCTCAAGAAAAAGAATGAAATAAAATTTTTTCTGTTTTTTATTTATTATTTTTTTTGTGGTGCTGGATTGAACACAGGGTTTTGTGCATATGAGGCAAGCACTCTACCAATTGAGCTATATCCCCAACCCTAAATTTTTCCTGTTTTGAAGAGCCTGTTTATGTGTTTTTAAATGAGGATAGTGGATTTCAAATTGCTTTGCTCAGTTTGTTACTAAACAGATTTAAAAGCATTATTTAGTAGTCTATTATAATGTCATTATCACATTAGAAATTACAATATTGGCAAATATGTAAACTTAAATGAAAAAATTTAATATCACTCTGAAAATGTGGGAATACATTGTTTTTTGAGGTTATTTTGGGGATACTTGTGAAAAAATACTTGAAAGAACACTGATCTAGTCTCAAAACAGGAAATAGCCTATTACCCCTTACTATTTGGAGGGATGGTCATTTAAAAGATAACAGTTCACTTGAGAATATATATATATAATATGTATGTTTGTATACATATACCAAATTCCAGATAAAATTAGTAAGAGACAGAAGAATAATAAATGGGACTTTTTAAATTTCAAGCAAGAGAAATCCAAAACTTCCAACTAGAAAAATAAAATTAAGAGCACTGGATCAAACAAATCAAATGTCTTCTTAGTCTGTTTTCTATTACCATAACTGAATACCATAGACTGAATAATTTATAAATAATAGAATTGGTTCATTCAACTCCTGGTTCTAGGAACTGGGAAGTCCAAGAGTGTGGACATATGCTAAGGGCTTCA